CACGCCACCGCACGCCCTGCGGTGTGTTACCAGACTGAGTCCTGGCAGGGACTCGGGAGAAAAAAGCCCTCCGCAAGGTGCACCAGGCTACCACTGTCCTGTTGTCCAGGGGTTTAAATTACAAATATTTGCAAAAGAGCAACCAGACGACTGACCCCCGAGGCAGAGCTTTATTTAGCTGTATTTACCACGCAGGCGAGCGTGGGAGATCCGCCGGCGGGCGGTCGCTGCACACCGTCCCCTTCGCCAGCCGCCTGCCAGATAGACCATTCCTACAACGCACCCTTCAGTCCGTCCGTCCTTACCTCTCATGGCACGTTTCTCGGCTCAAGGCCGCATGGGAAGCATTTGTAACCGTTCTCAATTAGCTATTTGTTTTTAAATTGTCCATTTGTGTCGCCTTTATGTCCTAGCTGCTCTGGTGACATTAGTGAGCGATTGCACTGTCTCTGTTTTATGTCTACACGCTGACATAAGTTATGCTGTGTGATCGGTTAATGTGCTGGAACTGCATGGCAATCTCTGCCTTCCTGCCTGCTTCCATTTGGGAGCAATGCAAATCCTAATAGCAGCTCTCAGAGTTAAATACAGTTTGATAAATAATAATAGAAAAGTAACATTAGATTATTACTCTACATTACTTCTTTGAAGGCAATTGCATCTGCCAGTTCACAATATATTTTTTCTCACCAACACCAGAGAAAAATTTGACAAGCTGAATTACCATTTCATTTCCAACTAAGAAAACACTGACAAGCTTTAAAGGATAGTTTTGAAGAGAAACCATGGCCATCTAAAGATGTAAATTACAGTTGGATGGAGAAACCTCAAGGGGTCCTAGTGGTCTTTGGTGTGGGAGATTATTGACTGCAGTACCATCTAAGCAAAATTTTTGCTATATAGCCCCACACCATATGTGCTTTTTCTGGCTATGAATCATCATCTAAATAGAAATTCAATTCCAGTTTCAGTGAGTTTATGATTAAACCTATTTTCTTGTTTCTACTGTGGTTTTGTATGATTTTATATGTCAACTCTATTTCTTTGTCCCTACTTGTGAATGTAAGTTGTATGGTTGGTCTGACACACAGTGCTTTTTTCCAAGGTTGAGTGAAACTTGGCGGTTTCATCTTAAATGAGTGGTGGGTTTGCTAGAGCCCAAAGTGATGCTGATGTTGCTCACCTGCCATTTTGCAGACAGTAGAAGAGGAACTTCTTCCACGTGTACTACTATGTCCATGTTATGGTGGTGCCAGGGCTCAGATGTGTGCAGTTCACATGCTTCGGGTGCTGCCTGGATGATTCAAAAGAACCGTAACAGAAAACACAGGAGATTTTGACCAGCCTCAGGTCTGTAAGTACATTTTAAACCCACAAAGTTTGAGTGTGTTTGAAATGTACTCAAATATTTCCTTCTTCACCATTGTGTCCTCATGACCCATTGAATCATCAAAGGCTTGGAGATGAAAGAAGGACTTATGGTTAGAAAATGCAAAGGACTCTCTGCTGAAGGGGGAATGGTTTGTTGTATCTTCCTTTTTTTTAATCCTAGAACAAATAGCTTTGGTGGATAATTTTCTGTGAGGGTTTTTACTGTAATGAGTAACTGGGCTTCCAGAAAGCTCTTTTATAAATACAGTAAATAAGCTCCCAATCAAAAAACCCACAGAAATCAGTTGCAAAATCCCCATAGTGTTTCATGAGCTTTGAGTCACACTCAGGGTGGAAAAAACCACTAGCCTGTAGGGAATCAAAAAAGAACCTGGTCCTTTCAGATAATTTTAATGACGACTTTCTTCAGGCTATTTTGTACATATGGTAACATAAAACCTGTTATCATATTCAACTGAAGAAAAGACACCTCGTTATACCTAAACATCTTCTAGTGGCCTAAGTTGGTATTGACAGGTCAAATTCACCTATGGTATAATTCAACTGAGCCAATGAAGCTATACCAAAGAAGGTTTTACTGAGCTGGCACAAGCGTCTAATCTTTATATTTGCTATAAGAGGTTTTTACCTTTTCAGAAATGGCTGTAATTTATTTTGGAGATGAATAAGTTTCCACCAGGTCAAAGTGAATCCAATGAAAAAGGACACCTGAGGACCTTTAAGCCTTTCTCTCCCATGAGATGGGTATGGAGGTGGAACTACCCACCCTGTAGAGGCTTCATTGATTAACTATGAACTTCACATAAGAATGTATTATTTTCAACCTCAGAAATATTTACCAAAAAATCAGGGATCACGATCTACTGGACAAAAGGAAAACAGTCACAGCCCTAAAAGCCGGAGAAGACCGGGCCATACTCCTCGGGCTGGCCATGATGGTGTGCTCGATCATGATGTACTTCCTCCTGGGAATCACCCTGCTGCGGTCTTACATGCAAAGGTAATTTCATGATGTTTATGCTGATCTCACACACTCTGCTCCAGCTGACTTCTCATGGCTTATTCTTTTGATCCTTTTTATTAAAGTTTTATAATTTTTCCTTTGGTCCACACAGGCCTGATTCTGCACTTCCTTACCCCATTATAAATTAGGCATAACTACAGTGAAAGCAAGTTGAGTAATACCAACATAAGAAAGGGAAGAATTACACCCCTGCTTGACAAAATCTTGATCCAAAGGCTTTAGACTTGCCACAGTTTAACAGCAGTCTAATAGCCACATCAGCTGGTCGGCAGTCTGCTGAGCCCCGTCAGCCTCTCAGGGGCTGTTGCTGCAAAGCCCAAACTCAGGAGAAAATAGCAAAAGCATTTAGCAGCCTTAAGAAACAACACATTTTCAAATGAAGAATGGAGAATTAATTTGGGAAAGAAATCAAGCTGCTTTGTAACATGCAGTTTTCCATGTAGATTATTACTTTCATTTTAACAAGTGAAATCCTCCTGAAATACAGTAATTTTCTGAAAGTGAAAGACCATCTTTCATCATTACTGAACTGCACTTAATTTTTCTGAGGCCTTCTCTGGCCTCTTTCTCTGCCACAGAGCAGAAAGTTTGGCCTGTGATTCATTAGCAGCATTTGAAATCAGTTTTCAAGCACCAGCCCTATTTAAAATCCAGCCCAGACTGTAATAAGACTGTCAACAATGTTTTTTCTGCCCTGATCAGTGGAGTTAGGAGAATGAAAAATGTGTCACGGGGGACCGAAACATTAGTCTGTCGTGCCCAAAACCACCCCGAGGCAGCAGCCAATACCTGGCACATTTCGGTTTATCCACCACAGGCTTCTTCTTTAGGCATGTGCAGTAAATTGAGGTATAAACATCCTCGATTATAGCGGTGTACCTGCAGGAAAATATTCCTTCTTGACCCTGCAACAATAAGGAGAAGGTTGCAATGCCTGAGGATGAGCTGTACTGATTTGCAGCATTTTATTTGCGCCATAAAGGTATTTGTCCCTTTTTAAATCCAGGCAAAGTTTACTCTGTGAAAACAGAGATCAAGACCTGTTAACTACCGAAGAGCATCTGCTTTTCCAGATTGCTCTCCCAGACCTTTCAGCAATATTAGGGTCAGTTGCAGAGGCTGCTAAGATCCAAATTGCTCGTGTGGAAAGAGGTGATTTATATTACAAACTATGTGAAAAATGGCCAGAAGATATCAAAGCACCTATGAAGTATTAAATATTCCATCTTCACAAGTCTGTTGTGGGTAGGCGTTACTTTATTACTCCCATGCATGAATAAAACAGCAGTCAGAAAGGTGAAAGGAAGGAGAAGACAGCCCGGGAGTCTTTGCTGTCACTCCTCTTTGGACAGGCAGATCTCCTTAGGGGTTAATGTCCTTTACAGATAGCAATACCCCTGCAACAAAATCTGCCTGAGAGGGGAAACAAAATCCTTTCACTTGATTTCCCCCCAGAAATCATAGCATAATTTAATATAAATGTAAAACAGAATATACTCCCTAAGTAAAATACCAAGAGAAGTAGTCAGAAATCTTTGAAACCGCTTACTCTGTAAAGCCTTTTGTAGGTTTGGCAAGGGAGAAGGAGACCCTCAGCTCGTTCGTGGCACGGGGCAGGGCAGCCGCGTGGGGTGGGAGCCGAGGGGCTGAGCGGGGCTAACGGGGAGCCCTGGGGTGAAACCCTTCCCCCAGCCCGTGAAGGGCCTCGCACAGAGCCCTCAGGGTGCCCGACCGCTGCTCTCGTCCCTAAGGAAAACACCGCCCTGGAGTTTTAAATACAAGCAAGAAACCCAGCCAGCTCCATCATTCCAGTTTTAGCCTCTGGTGAACTGGAGATATCCTCCAGAGCGATTACATCAGCTGACGTAACTCACGGAAAACCGAGCGAGCTGCCGCCAGAAAGCGCCTTTCCACAGGCGGAGCTGCACGCGGTACCGCTCCCGTGACACCGTGCCTTCGGGCGCATGAGTGTACCTGCCCTGGTAGTGCCAAGCTGCCTTCACGGCCTCCGCTTGAGCTGGATCGGACTTCGCGGTCGACCATCGCATCTTGGTCCAGGGCGTCCCGCCATGCAGCACCGCGTGCCTTGTGCTCTCCCCAGGGCAGGCTGCTCGGTTTTCTTCTCCGATTCCTCTGCTGATTCCTTTTGATTTCAGATATACCTTCTCCAGACTAAAAGTTCCAGTTCCCTTTTAATTTATAAATAGACATAAGTGAATGGGGTATTTTAGTGCCCAAAGCGCAAACTTTGGGTACTACAGAATAATACCGTCTGCGATGTGTGACATGAGAAGGTCCGGCCTTTGCTCAAAGCCCTGCAACATGTACCATCTCCTACAAGATGGCCCCCGGTATATCCCTGAGGGAAAGCCTGACCTGCTTTAAATGCTTATTGCCCATTCTTGCCATGCTCTAACGTCTCTTTTTTTCCTATTTAGTGTCTGGACAGAAGAGGCTCAGTGCTCACTTCTCAACGCATCCATCACAGAAACCTTCAACTGCTCGTTTAGCTGTGGTCCAGACTGCTGGAAAATCTCGCAGTACCCTTGCCTCCAGGTGTACGTTAATCTCACCTCTTCTGGCCAGAAGCTTCTGCTCTACCACACCGAGGAAACAATGAAAATTAATTCTGAGGTAGGAGCATGGAATAAAATTTCTTCCTAAATGGGTTTCTGGAGTGCTGCTCACCTTGTTATACTCATTCCTTGCTTTAAAGCAATATAAGGCTTCCAGCTCCTGCTTCCCTGGTAAATACGGAGCAGAGAAAGCAGAAATTAGCACACAAACTGAGCTGAGATCTCTGGAGGGAGACGGTTTTCCACCTCCATGCCACGCAGGAAGCACAGCTCGTCCCCGCACGGCTCCCCCCCGGGGCTGGAGCCTCCCTCATCCTTGGCCGGTGCCAGCAGCTCGTTACAGGTACAGGCTGGCACTGAGCACTTGGCCCACTGATGTCCTCGTGGAGCTGTGGACAAGCCACCTCCCACCCAGGTGTGGCTCTCCGTGATGTGCACGGAGTGTCCGCGGCGCTGAGAACAGAAATGGCCTCATTACTGCGGGGCCAGGCAAGGCGATGGGCAGAGACGAGACCCCCCGTGTCTACCAGCAGGCGTGTCTCCGTCTCCATCCCTGACGACAAACTCTGCGCCCTGAGCATCTCCGCCGAGGTCAGCTGGGGTCAAGGCACAGCATTTAGCCCTGCTGATGGTGCAAAGATGCTGAAAGTTTGCTGAGCGGGGACCGGCAAGATAAAAGCAGCAGCATAAAAATAAAAGGCCTGGCTTTTGGGCATGGGTAAGCTAAGGAGTCAGCCCATCTTTCTTGCACAACTTCCCTGATGCCAGACATTGAACCAAAAAAAAGATTTTTAACAAATCTGCAGAAGAATCCCACTCTCTGCTTCAGCAAGCGCAAAATTCAGCATAACTCCATCCAGGTGGGATGGAGACAGCTCCTGCCTGGAGGCTACCACTAACGCAGCGGATGCACAGAAGGCATCTCCTCGCCGGCCCGCGGCCGCAGCTGTGCGGCCGACGCAGTGCTGTGTATCGCGCCCAGGCAAGCGGCCGCCGCTTCGCAGGTGGCTGTTTGCTGCCGCCGCACAGCAAGGCAGGGTCGGGCTAAGAAATGTCCCTCTCCCCACCTTCCCTTCTTTGTATCCACAGCACCTGGGTACCGAAGGCTGCAAGCTGCGATAAGCTGGGACACAGATAAGTGGTTAGACTTGCAAGTGCCAGATTTGCATTAACTGCTTAGTTACCCAAAGTCCCTGAAGCCCACCCAAGTGGGTGCCCGTCAAAGCTCAGCCCGTAACAGCAGAGCCCCTGCTCAGGCTGCTGACAACATAACCTATTGTGTTCCTATTTATGGCAGCAGTTCAGTAAACCAAATTACTTCTGCATATTAAGGTGAAGCAATATTAAAATTAGTCAAAGCACAGAGTGGCTGCACTGGACTGGTTATTCTGCTGGGTAATCAGCTCCTGTGGCTGAGAGACGAAGTCCTCTGGATCTGGTGTGAAATGGAGAGCGGTGACCCCACCTTCCCCCCGGTTTGGCGTCGCTGCAGAAAGGAGTTCGCCATTCGCGAAGCCTGCGGCAGGGCAGACCCCGCTTTCTGCTGGGGCAGAAGCAAGACCCAGTGATGCTCATGCCCCAATTTGATTAAAACAGATCACATCAGTCTCTGTGCTCCACTGGATTCAAATAAATCAAGAGATTCAGCATAAATCTCCGCATTCTGTTATTGATGATTTTTGCTTGCTGAACTGGACTTCGAAATTCTCCCAGTTGACGCCTCCTCTTAATTTAATGTAGGCACAGTTAATACTTCTCGAGCCCAAGGTTGTTTTACAGGTTAAGCTCTGCTCTCAGGAGGATTCCTAGGTTTTCCTGACATGCTGCTGGCTATGTGACCTGAATCCAAATGCAGTTTTGAATGGAAGTTTGCAATGCCTGTAAAATACCTGACTTCTTGTGCCTGGCAGGGATCAGCAGCGACTCCAAGCTGAGATCGGCACAACCCATCCCAGCTCCCTCTCCCCTGGCCGGAGAGCGGCCCCGTGCAGTGGGATGAGCATCCCTGAGCACGGCTGGTTTTCTGGAGCCCCAGCTGGGTGCTGGCTGTCTCTCTCCACCCACCTACTCAGGTCTGCGTTTCCTATCTTTCTTCTTGCCAACTAAACAAAAAAAACCAAAAACCAAAAGCCATCCCTGGCTGACTGAGCCCTGACATTACGGGGGACGTTGCAGAGCACGGTGCTTACCCTCCAAGGCCAACACCAGTGACCTTCAAAAGGTCAGCGTCCCCCTGCTAAGCTGTCTGCCTCGCTGAGCACCGCTGCGCACGCAGAGCAGCGTCTCTCTTCTCTCCCCGCCAGCTAGCACGGGTTGGGCAAAATGCACTTTGATTTTAAATAATGATTAATCTAGGAGACTTGCTGTCTAACCTAGCTGTCGGCCCACAAGGTGCGGTGAGGAGTAGGTGCAATTTATATTGAGATCTACAGCGTGGTGCTGCCAGTCTCCGGTGGGAATCGGTGGGAAGTAAATGGATACCAGTTGAGCTGCTCGAGTCTCCTAGGAAAGCACACAAGGTTTTTCATGCTTTTTCATTGCTCTAGCTGTGCATACTTTATCTCTAGTCTTTAAGACAAGCCCAGCTCCTCGTCAAAACTACAGCCATAGTGGCTTAAATGCTTTCACAGCTACACTTCCCTTTCCCAGCTGTCAGAGGCTGGAACAGCTGCTGGGAGAGGTAAACGGACCAGTGGCCCCTCACACCTGGACCACAGAGCCAGGCTGTCACCCTGAGGAAGGGCTGCTGTAGTTAAAGCAGTTCTAGAGGCCCTGGTTTGATCTCATACTATATCGAATTGATTCTTTTCGTGTCATCAGAGCTACTGCTGATTTATACCCATGCTCCATAAGTGAGATAACAAGCAGGCTTTAATCACCAGAATCACCATTATGCCACCTATAACTACCTGAGACTCAGAAATGATGGGGAATCGCACGGTTTCCTGCTGCAGGTTTAGGTATTTATAACCCAGAGAGGAGTTTGGTGCAGGGGGAGCAGCAGTGTTTGGCTCTGGTTCCCAGCAGACCCATTTCTGGGCTGGGGCTAGAGAACTCAGCCTGCAGGAATCAGTATCAGGCCAACACAGACACAAAGCTCCTCCTTCATCCCCTGGGTCAAACCTATTGCACTTTCCAAAAGAGATGTAGACTGACGTCTCAACCACTTTCTCACAAAGACTGCCACAGCACACCTTATCAAAGTTCCCAGCCCCAGCTTCCAAACTCAGCATGACAGGGACATACAACCCAACCATGGACATATGACGACAGCCATGTATTTCACTGCCCAGCCTGAACTGGGGCCCTCTCTGGCAACAGGGTTGTCAGTGTAGCTTCGTTGACTTAAATGAAACTGCCCCCAGCTTTCCTGGAGGTGCTGTGTGATCTCCATCCTGGGAGATGTTAATAACTTGACCTGAGCAAGTCCCTGAGCAACTCTGCACGGAGCAGGGCATTGGACTAGACATGTCCAGGGGTAGTTCGTACAGGCTACCTACCCGTTCCTTGCCATTAGAAGAGCTGACCTGGACATGTAACAAGAAGTTCTCTCTGTAACTGTCTAGTATATTCTTCTTGTGATCAGACTGCAAGTAATACAAGAGCCACTTTTCTCACGTTGTATCACAGAATCCTCGCTTGAGGTAGAGAGCCAGACATTGTTTACTTTCAGATTTGCAGATTTCCAAGTGTTTGACGCTGCAGCATAGATGTAGTAGCCTACATTCACAGGTACAGCGTAACAATTGTGGGTATAAAACTTCCTGCCAGGCATTGGAGAAAACTAAGATCAAAGAAAACACTGAAAACATCCCGTTATCCATGTCTACCTACTTGCTTGCCCATGACCTGTGCAACACTGCAGACAACAGCAAGGCAGAGGCAGCCCTGTGCTATCCCTGGGATGTCCCTGGGGAAGCTGAGGAGTGGAAGGAAGCCTGGAGCACCCCACAACCACAACTTAATGTACACAGTGATTTCTTGCACCAAGGAACTCCTCAAAGCTGAGGCCAAGATGCCTCCAGGAACTCAGGAGAACAGGGATGAGGCAGAGAACACAGGGAGTAAAGGGCACTCCTGTCTTGGAGCGCACATGGGAGACCATAGCCTGGAGAGAGACAGCTTCAGCACAAGGAGTCCAGCTGAGAGACAAATCCACCTCCCATGCACAACTGCATCTCACACCTTCGTACTAGCAGACCCTTTTGGCATAGGCAATCCAACCAGCCTGACGTGGCTGGTGGCTCTGTGCCATCAGGTGTAGGTGGCAACACCTCAAGTTCTGCTTGCGCATCAGGTCTCCTTTGAAAATGCTTGGCAAATACCTGGACTGGCAGGAAGTCAGACCTCCCCCTGCTGCAGTCTTGGGACATTTCCACAGACTCTGAATCCAGGAATCTCTCATCATTTGGGCTTTTACATGCCTGCTGTTTTCTGTCAAGGGGAAGGGTTGGACATTGGCAAGAGTGGCAAATCCCCATTTAATCTCCTCCCTCGGGATCCTTCGTGGGACTTCAAGAAACAAAAATGTATAGCACCAAAGTTGCAAGAAAAAAAAACCCACACAACAAAAAACATCTAAGCTGGAAATACTGCTGTTACAACAGTAATAGCACACAATTTAGTAAAAGAAATTGAGGTATGCTTCACTGAGAAATTTCCCCTACTTATTAGATTATGATCTATTGAAGAGTCATAAGCACTGGAAGAGGGCTTGTGGCTTTGGACATTTAAGACAAAGCTGGGCAGAGTGCAAAAGAATATCCTGGAGGAAGCAGACCTGCACCGGCAGGAAGATGGATGAGATATTACTGCTCTGATATTTTCCATCTCTAATTTCCAGAGCTCTATGAAATATTCATAATGGCAGTGCTGCCATGCTCTACTCTTAATGCTCCAGTCTGCTAACACCAGACAATCCTTGTGCCACACGTCAAATCATATTCTGTGCTAATAAACTTGCCAATGAATCAATCAAATCCTGTTACAAGGTTAATCCTTTGATCATTATTAGGACAAGAGATTTGTCACAGCACGTTACAAAAAAGTCACAGAATAGTCATGAAACGGAACGCAGGGTCATTTATAAAGTATATACATTAAGACAATAAAAATCAAAAGCCATGGGTTACATTGTTTTAATCAAAATGTCTTTTTTCCTTTGTCAAACTCTCTTTCTCTCATTAAATTATCTGGAGCTACTCTAGGTGCTCACCCAGGACAAGCAGGTTCATCAGCGCAGGCAGGGAGCATGGCGGGGACCCATGATCACTCCGTAACTGCTAGGGAATGATGACCTGCTGGGTCCCCCCACGCACATTCAACAAACAAGTTAAGCAGCAGATTTCCACCCCTCCTGAAGCAGTTCTTGCCTAGGTAAGGGAATTTAATCAAAATCTTATGCAGGTGTAGAAAACCTTCAGTTGTGGAGGGGTGTAAGTATCTAGAAGAGAGGAGGGAGTGAGGGGCCCTGGGCTGCTCCCATCAATTCTCTTCCAGACCAGCAACAAGAACAGCAAATTCAGGTATTTCTGCTCTAGGTCAAAATCCAGATATGGCCTCAATCCTTGTGTGTTTGCTCACCACCTCACCAGCTCGCACTAGCTCTTTGCACAGGATGGTCAGCACAGCCTGGGGCCACTGTCCTGCATGTTCCACGGAATATCTCCATGGACTCCATAAGCTAGTTTTTTAATTAACTTGCCTTTAGTGTTCTTTGGGAATGCTAGGCTGAAACTGCATTAGATAGAGCCATCCCCAAATCTTCTTTTCTTTGTGACTGAGACTGAAATTCAAGGAGGTTCTTCAGAGAGAAGGAACTGTTGGACTTAACGCTAGGGTCAAGAGCGAAAACAAGACTAAGTGCCAGCCCGGTAGCCGGGCTGGTCTTCAGCTAGAGGTTGAATGAAAGTCTTCTGGGTTGTCAGTAGGAAAACTGTATTTTCTCCTAGCCTATCTATTTGTCCCTAATTGAGGAATTACCCCCATGGGAAATTTTGTATAAAGGTCTCTCTTCAGCCTTCTCCTACGTGGGTGAACTCCTGCGCCCACTGTGATCACTTTGATCTGATCCAAGTGAGATCTGAACTACCAGATTTGTATTTACAGAGAGTCAATTACCCATCTAACTGCAAGCATATGCGTGCCACTTAAGATGAAGAGGTACTTCATCAGTTCCGTTTTTGCATGTGTAAATTAGCAATAATATTATATTCACCTATCTCATGAGGCCACTGTGCAGATTAAAGCATTAATATTTGTACAGCGCTTGGAGGTTCTCCAGCGGGAAATTCTGTAGATGTGCAAAATATTGAGTTTTGTCTGTGATACATTTATTATTAGCTTAATAGTATTCCACTCTTATTATGAAAAACATAATCATCTTGAGATTTTCCTGCTTGCCACCTGAAAGTAGACATTGTATCTGATTTGGAGATGCATTTTTCTCCCTCTAATTTCTTCTCAGTGTTCGTACATACCCAAGTGTGGCAAGAATTATGAGGAATCCATGTCACTGGTGAACGTCGTGATGGAAAACTTCAGAAAGTACCAACGCTTCTCCTGCTTCTACGACCCCGAAGGCATTCAGAAGAATGTGATATTAACCAAACTGTACAGCTACAACGTGCTGTTCCACTCCCTCTTCTGGCCCACCTGCATGATGATTGGCGGGGTCGCCATCGTCGCGATGGTAAAGCTGACTCAATACCTTTCCCTCCTCTGCGAGAGAATCCAAAGGATCAACAGATAAAAACAAAAACTTCTCTGAGATTTAATTACAGCGAAAATACTGTTTTCTCATTCTTCACCAAAGAACCTTAAGTTTGTAACGTGCAAGTCTGTTATAAGTTCCTTACTATATTCTTATAAGTAGAGCAATAATGCAAAAGCTGTTCTATATGCAAACATGATGTTATTATTATGCAGACAACTGAAAAAAATACTGTTTTGTGTTGACCGTCTATATGATCTTGTTTTATGCTGAGACTAGTACTTCTTTCCTTTCTACAGCCAAAACAGGGCTCGGTGTGACCATTTGCCAAGCTTAGCCAATTGACATTTCCAACGTAAAGGATTCTGGGGGAAATTCACCACTGGACAAAGGGCAGCCAACCACTTGTGCATCACTGAGGTCTCACATCTGGCTCAGTCTGATGTTTTATTATTGGCTGCAGGGGAAAAAAAAAAAAGCATTGATAGGTTTTTTTTATAGTAAGATGGCACAAAAGGGACGTATTTTGAGGCTGGGATAAGTACATAGTATTTGCAGCCTAACTAGGACTTGGTGATGTTTTGTGTTTGTTCCCCCAGTTCAGAAGTAAATTTTACCTTATGGTGTTTAAGGTCTTCTGGAAAACACTTTGGAGTTTTATTTTGTTTAGTGCTATAATTTCCTTCTGTCTTATCAACATCATCTTTGTCACTTGCAGAAGCTGTAGCCAAAAAACAAAATCACCTTGTTCCATTTTCTATTCTAGTCTGAGCCCTTTTGATGGAGATGGGACCAGAACACCTTATGTAAATGTTTATTACTCATTTGTCTTGTATTTGTTACCATATCACTGTAAAGAAAAAAATAACACAATCAGCTATTTTTTCATTTTTTACTTCCAACTATTTTAGATTTTTTTACTTGATATATATACAGATATATATATAAAGAAAAAGCTATATTATATCTAGTTGTGTATCGGAACTTGATTATGGGGTGGTTTTTTTCTTTGTTTTTACCAACTGGAAAGTAAACAATTATAACTCATATATTTATAACCTTCATCCTTGGATAATACCATAACATGGAGGAGTAGCACTGCAGGATCTTATCCAATATTCATGACGTTGTTTCAGTCAAAAGTCTCGGTTGCCGTGACATCGGAATTGACAAAAATCTCATCCAGTTGTATGGCTCTATTAACTGAATTGTTACATAATCATCATAATACACCTGGAAATCTCTCTGGCCCTTAACGCAGTACGCAGTGCTGGCTGACGTGAATTATGATTTTAAAGGCCCAGGTGCCATGATTTATTGGAAAAACTGAGATTGTGACTAAGAATTTGTCCTATCTGTCAAATATTTACCATGGGGACCTTGCCAGTATAATTTCACGCATACTATAGTCATGATTTCTGCATAATTTATTTTTACTCCCCTGTAGAAAGCATTCTTTCTAATGTTGTGTTTTAAAGACATCCCTCGCAGTATCACACTTTGCACTCAGCCTGAAGGACAAACACAAGGCAGTTCCTGGGAGCAGCCTGTGAACTTACTATCCAGTAGCTCAAAGAAACCATTTACAGACCTATTCAAACCGAGAAACCCAACTTTTTTTCCCCCCCTCAAAAAGGCTGCAAAGCAAGTATTCTGCTTAGTTCATATATATAAGTACCTTTCTGCACTGTAGCATTAAAAATGTCCAAGATGTTACAAAACTTTACAAGTTGTGCAAGTGTACCATGAGCTGTGGGGAAAAAAAAAAAAAAAAGAGTTCTCTGCAGTGAAAATGAACCTGCAACCTTGTAATCAGTAGTATAATTTTCCTTAGGAAAATAGATTCCTGGAGGGTGGAGGTATAATGAGGGCTCAAAAAATATGTAATAAAAATATTAAATTAAATCTTCCAGATTTCAATATCTTCTGCCTTCAGATCTGGCTTGTTTCCTCAGACTTTTCTTTGTATCTTCTATTGCCCAGAAACGAGGAGTGCTGACACAACAGGGAATTCCTAAAGGTTTATTTGCAAAAATATGGTTTTGGTCAATCTGTGGGATTCACAGAAACCATCATCAGTGGATCTGGGGACCCTCAGCATCAGTGGGACTGGAGTCGCAAAGTCTTTAGTGGAACGACAGCAACCTTTATTGGACCAACCCTTCCACCAGCAGAAAGCGTGACTCACCCCCGGTGCCAGCGTGGATGGGGGGACCGAGATGGAGGGACGGGGATGGGGACCCCAGCCCCGCTGCCACAGTGCCCCACCGCCCTGCTGCACAGGCACGGGGCTGTCGGTAGTTGTGGTGGGACCCCCACGCAGAGTCACGGGGATTCATTGCCTGGTGCCCATGATGCAAGGGGCTGCAGGTGCTCATCCTTGTTACGAAACCTTAATTCTGCAGGTTTGGTGGGGAAGGGAGGTGTCTAGGGGAGGCCTCCTGAGCCACACCGCTGAGGAGGCATCATGGCCCATTATTTCTAGGTAGCCCAGGCGGCTCCCAGGGTGCATCTTCACCCTTTGTAAAGTTGGTTTCACCTCAGGCAGAGAGGTTTGATCGGTGTTGCCACCCTCAATTGTCCCTCACCCGTCTCCCCACCATCGGCTCCGTCACTAATGCCCCAGGAAGGTCCACGCTGCCGATGGCGACTCACAAAGCAGAAATGGTGCCCAGCACCGCCAGCAAAGGGCTGCGGTAGCTCTTTCCACACTATTGCCAACACTGGTGTTGGCCGTTTACACGATGATGTACATGGCCCATGATAAAGTAGCTCTTTGGTCGTGCACGTGACGTTTTTGGCAGCTGTATTTGTGCGTTTTGGTTCTGGTGACAGGAAAGCTGATTGTTCCTGACATTTACAGCTCAAGCGCTGCTTCCTACACATTGTGCCATAAACATCTCACCAGCGCTCCTGTGGGTGAAGCATCTTGACACTGCTGCAGTCTATAATCATTTTGTTGACGTTAACAGAGAGATCTGTGGGATAGCAAAACAACCTGAGTAATTGGGTGAAGTAAAACAATAATTTTAAAGGGAATTACCTCTCTGATCACTGGCACAGTTAACCCCCAACTGAAGCATTAGCATTGCAAACACAATTTTTGACAACCCCTGCTGCCCCAAAGAGAGGTCATGTTTCAGTGGGGATGTTAGTCTGTGCGATTTCTTTCTCTACCTCCCTTTTAATATCACATTTATCCCCTGCAAAAGGAACTGATGTTCCTGGAGGCGGCTCAAATGAATAAGAAATACATGGTAGTGAAATTCAGCGATCAGGCAAATCTACCCTGTTTCCGAGACTGGTCCTGACTCTTCTCAGCACAAACGTTCCACCTCTTGGTGTCCCACCTGGGCATTCGGGACAGCAGGGAACAACCAGCTCTGCAAAACCCCTGAACAGAAAGGCGGGGTACAAAAACAGCAGCACAATATTCACAGGCGTTACGAGCCTGTGAGAGGCACCCTGGTGGGATTTAAAGCATGCATAAGTATTCCAGGTGCCAAATTCACATGGCCTTTTAATAGTTGTTATTTTCTTAATTAGATTATTTATGTCAGGTCTTATTTCTATTCTGGAACATCTAAATCTGAAGCTGAAGCGTGAACACCCCTGCTGTAATACTTCGAACCTGGCACCTTGCAGCAGACTTACTAAATGTCACCGACTAGGACAACAGAGAGCTTAACTTGGTTTAGCTCTTCTAATTGAGACATCACTATCTCACAAAACATACCCAGAGTGCAAGCGTACCCAACTCCAGTGGGAGTTTCAGGTGAATACAGACAGGAGAGAAGGCTCAGAAATCACAAGACCCTGCACATCTCAAGGCGACACAAATGCAGTGATTTCAAACCTGAGGGACAAAAAGGGAATGAATTCCCAAAGTCCCAAGGCAAGGCTGGGGATGCTGCTGGCATCACGTCACCTCCATCCTCATCACTCGCCACAGAAGAGTTCAATGGAAGAAGCTGCTGAGGAAGAACTGGGCTGGTCTAAGCCTGGTCCAAGCAGATTCCTGCACTTGTTTGACTGTGAAAGCTGTGACCTTACAGCACTGTAATTGTACTGGTATAACCTCTAAAGGGAACAGCAGTTTCAAGGCAATACCACCTTAAAAACTGGTCAGCTAATTTCCCTTCTCATGCAGCCATGCCCTTATTAAAACAGCTGCAGCCGTTCAAGTGGATTGAACCAATATCTTTGCAAAAAATACCATTTTTTCAGTTCACTCTGAGCACAGTAGCATCAGCTCTCCATTAGCCGCTGTACTGCTCATCATCTATCAAAGATTTGGGAGAAAACCTCGCTTTTCTGCTCCACTGAACACATATCACTTCCCAGCACTCGATTTTGCAGAAAGGAACCACACAGTTTGCGGTGTACCCAAACATCTCACAACTGGTACAAACTTTGCCAAATTGTTTTTGCTGTGCAGGAAAG